CTGAGCTGTTTGTGAGTGTGAATGGTTGAAGTGACTCTAGTGTGAAGCACTTTGAGAGGTCAAAATGATTGGATAAAGGGCTTTATAAGTTCAGTCCATTTACCATCTTCATCCTGAGGGAGGAAGGAGAGGCAGCAGGAACAACATCAGTCACAATATGAGGAACATCTGCAGTTTGACTTCATTCAGATTTTTCTTAGTCTTTACTTTTAGAAACAAAGAAAAGCAAATTAGCTGCTGCTCTGATGAGGTCAATAGATTTGATCAGTGACTGTGATGTGATCTTGATCCTCAAAGAAAACCTAAAATAAGCATTTTTGCCACAGGGTGTCGATGTTCCTATTAAAGTCATAATAAATTATTCTAATATTCAAACTAAATAAAGTTTTCAGAGTCGCTCCTCATGATCAGAATTGATCTGTTTGTTTTACAGAAATCACAGAAATAAATACAGCAAAGCAACAAAATGAAAGAAACAAGAGTTTACTCAGCTTTTATACCTGTTTTCAGCAGTAAAGTCTTGATGATCTGCAGTAGGTTGAGATCAAACAGGTTCTGTGTCCATCTGAGGCAGCAGCTACTCCTCCTATTTATACTAGCAGGTGTTTTCTTCACAGTTAGACTTCCTGGAATCCATTCTCTGCCAATCAGAGCTCAGCTCTGATAAAAGATGATATTATAGCTGATTACTGTCTATGTTCTTCCTCAGGACACAAAACCTTCAGCTTCCAGAAAACAAGTTATTATTCTAGATATATTGACCATACTCAAAGATTAAATTATGTTTTTATACTGATTCACAACAAAATACTTCAGTCCAAAGGTTTATAGAAAGATGACAGTGAATCATCAATAAATGGACCCAGAGTTTATTCTGACTTTCTAAGGTGTCAGAACTTTGACTCACATCTTGAGATGGAAACTAAAGCACATTTTCAGCACTAAAGTGATGATGGACATTTTTGTCTATAACTTTTGCCCTGCAGTCAATCAATAAATTAAAAAAGTGCCGTTTTGGTCGTTTTTCTCTGAATAGATTCAGTTCAGATCTCAGAAAATAGATTTAGATTTAATATTATTGTTGACAGCAGATCAACAATAACATGAAACCAAACTGCTCTGAAATCCTGACAGAGGAGAAACGGAAGGAAGGAAAGAGAAACAGACGGATGGATCTGTTCTCCTGTCATAAAGTCCAACAGTCTGACAGAACCAGGTTCTGGTCTGTTTCCTCCTCTGATCTCCACCAGAACCACATTCAGAACCACAATCAGTGTGAAGAGGAAGAGAGAAGTGAAGAGGAGGTGATGAAGGTTCTGCTGTTTTCTGCTGCTCTGCAGACACAGATCATGAAACCATGAAAACATTTGGTGAAGAAACTCCTCAACTAGATCAGCTGAGATCCTCTGTGGTGCCTTCAGGAACATCCACAGAGTCAGTTCATCTCCAATCTTAAATGCTTTTCTCAGGGATTTTCCAGGAGATCAGCTGTTGTTTCAGATCTAATCAGACATGGAAGCTGGTTTGTTGACTTCATTTCTTCTATCCGTAATGCTAATTGTTGATTGTTGTAAATTTACAAACAGCAGCCCAAATGTCAGTGGCTCCGCCCTGTTTAAGGCAGAACCTTGTTTTTATTGGCAGCCTGGCTGCCTTGTGGCCAATCAGGTGTGAGGATGTGACATGATACCATTATGAAAAACTGAGGGCAGATAAACAGTCAGGTTGTCAATAAACGCTATAAAATCTTTGTTTCTGTCATTGTCTCTGGTTCTGGAACAGATTCTCTAGATGTCTGTCAGAAAGCAGAAAGTCTGATTCTGGTCCTGTTGACACAACTTGTTGTCACCCTGTTTAGTCAACAGGACTGTTCATGTTGACTAAACAGAACTGGTCTCTAAATAAATGAACCTCTTTCTTGTTCAGAGGAAAAACCACCAGAACAAACCAGCTGATCGTTTCCTCCATGTTGATCTTCTCAGGTTCCAGGAAGTCAAACTGTATGTAAAGTATATAATAACAGCACAGATCTGTACTTCTGCAGATCTCTGTAAATAAACACTAAGCTGACATGTTTTAATGGTAAATAATGTTATCCTGGAAAATCACATTAATTATGTTGGGACCAAAATATTTACATCAAATCTCCATTTTATATAAAGAAGAACTTTTTGATATTAAGATCATTTTGAATCATTTATTGCTAAATAGTTTCATTGGTGATTTACTGTGTGAGGATCAAGAAACATAAATACCAAGTCAGAGTTTTAATTACTGAACCTTCAAAGCTTAACATGAATCAGTTCATACAGTTTATTTCCTATTTATTTAATATTTGTGCATGTAAAAAACTAGAATGTTGCATAAAGGTGCAGCATTTCTTCCATCCATCTGCCTCTCTGGGTCTCATCTTCCTCTGGAGAACAGAATCTCAGATCTGTTGCTGGTTTTTATCCACAGTTTGTTCTGAGTTTTTATTCTGTTGTTGACTTGTAATAAACTTGGTAGATGAATTTTATTCTGCAGGTTTGTTTGGACTCTGGTTTCCTCTGCACACCCAGCCTGACCTTTGACCTGCCTGAGGCAGTTGCTGCTGATCTGCAGCTGGTCGCCTGAACGTCTGGTGAGGTTCTTGGTTCTGATCCAGAATCTGAGGATCATGTGACCTGATCTGACTCTAACTGAGGTGAAGCATCAGAAAGGAGGAAAATGTTTGAGTTGATTTAAAACCAGCCTGTCAGCTTGATAAAGACGTTTATTAACACAATCCTGGTTTTATCGATAAAACTCAAATTACTGATCAAAGTGTTAAAGCAGCTTTTTAACCAAAATAATGATCAGTTTATTTATTTAATCAAACTAAAACAACTCATTATTTAGGCTCTTTCTTTAAGCTACAGGATGGTCATCAGGATGAACTCATGAATTTAATATTATAAAACTAAAACCTGTCATTATAGATCCATAACAGTGAGAACAGAGGAGAACATCGAGGTTCTTTAATGAAAACATCTGGTTTGTTTTGAAGCTGCTGTAACTTCAGCCTCAGTCAGATCAGGACCAGAGAATAAATCCAGTCACCAGCAGAAAACTGGACCTCAGGTTCTGTGGAAACTGGATTTCTGAGTCTGATGACCAGTTTCCATGTGTCTGGACAGAGTTACCATAAAGTTACTATGATGAAATTAAAGGAAGTTTGTTCAGAAACCAGTGATGGCTGCAGCTCCCTGCACATCCAGTCTGATGGAGATCAGTTCAGATTTCACTCTGGTTCTGGATCAGCTCCAGTCCAGTTCAGACCTTTATGATTTATAACTATATGCAGCGTTAACAGGAAGTTGTTAAAAAAAATCTCTGGTTTTTAAATGTTTTCCTTTCTGAAACACTAAGTTTTCTTGTAAGGTTAAACTTCATCAAAACAGGAACAGACCTCAGAGATATTCTCACCTTTTAATGAATTTTAGAACCAGAACCGACTTCAGTAACAGTTTATGTACAAAAACAAAAGAATCTGACTTCAGTTGCTCTCAATGGACAAACCTTTTAAATTTAAATACACATTTGGTGAAAAAATTAAGACACTGACATTTACACAGCATTATCACAGTAGAAGACAACATGGTTAAATGATGACATAAATATGTGATATTCATAAAACTGATTCCCAGCAGAGCAGTTGAGACTGTAAGTGTTCATCAGAGAGACAACCTGGGGAAGAAAGTGTCTCTATGGCGACTTGTTTATGCTAACAGCGCTACGGACATTCAACCCAAACGGAAAGAGTTGGTGTCCAGGATGTGTGGGGTCTGCAGAGATGTTAGCTGTTAGTTTGGACCTTGATGGAGGGAAGGTCAGTCCTGACTGCTCTTTAGAGTTTGTCTCAGTTCTGTTTTATTGCTGAGTTTGAACCACAGAGCTACGGCTGAACAGGACAGACTGGATGATGAATAAAGGGCGAGTAGCTGAAGACCAGCAGGTTGGAGCTCTGGAGTTTCTGCTGGACTTTCATCCTAACAGTGTCTGAGTGAAGATCATCTCAGATTAAATGTTTCCAATGAACCAGAAGTGATCCACAGTGAACGGAGTGGGAAAGCAGATAAAATGTTTCTGAGATTCAGCAGAAATGATGTATAAAATGTTCATAAAGAATGTAGAGTTCACAAAGAAACATCTGACTGTAACATTTTGATTCAGTATTTGTTAGAATCAATGGATAAATGGAGTCAAAAATATATTTTCTTTCATTTTTAATGTTTTTTGGGGTCTTAAAATATTTTGGTCAACAGCAGAAGTTTTGACTGAATATTTACATCTATGAACAATTAATACTTTTACAATAAATAAACATTATCCATCCATCCATTATCTACAAAGCTTATCCTTGTGGGGTTGTCAGTGGTTGTGATATCCAGTGGTCAACAGGTGAAGTAAACCCAGGACCAGTTCACCACAAACATTACAGGGTAAAAATTAAGTTAATAAATCCAGTGGATCATCAGTCTTTCTATTTTATGTGTTAATATTTATAAAACATGAGGGTTATGTTCACCTGATTTTAACATTTAAAACAGGTTTATATCTGATTACTCAAGTGGTTTTTATTTGTACCTGCTGAGTTTCCAGAAGATTGAAACTTAAGACATGATTTTATTTTCTGATTTTACTTTTTTGTAGAACAAGTAACAACTGGAGGAAACAGCTATAACTACAACCCATGCAACAAAATGACCCCATTTCCTTAGACTTGTTTCGTTTGTAGTTTCAGGTTTAATCTTTGGTTCAGAATGACTCCTTCTAGCTGTGAACAAATCAAACACATCTGATTAATTAATATTCTAAACAAATGAGGTAGAAGCTGTTTATTTATAAAACCAGAATAATTTTGACTGAACTCACCAGATACATTCAATCGACATCTTCCAGAGTTGAATCCATCTTCAGTTTTCACGTCACACAGATACAGACCAGAGTCTTCAGTCCTCAGTCTGGACACATGGAGTCTGATTCGTCCTTCTCTGAGGACGTCTTTGTCACTCTGGACTCGTCCTGAAAACTGATCATCCTGAGACTCTGGAAACTCAACTCCATCACGCTGAACATATATTATCCTGCTCTTTACTGAGGTTTTAAATTCACAGTAGATGAACAGTTCCCTGTAGGATCCCTGAGTCCTGGTGGTGAAGGTCCACTCCAGAGTGATGCTGTGGTTCTCCTCTGCCTCATAGCTGCTCTGGGTCACATTCACTACAAATGTTGCTGCTGAGGAGACAGAGAGGGAAAGAGAGGAGCAGACACACTGAGAACTGGAACATGGGAGTCTTTCAGCTCCATCTAGAGAGCTTTCTGTCACAAAGACAAGATGGAGACTGACCACAGAGACATGAGCTGAGGATGAGGAGCAGCAGGGAGATCATCTTCATCCTGAGAGAGGAAGAGGAGGAGGAGAGGCAGCAGGACATCAGGAACAACATCAGTCAGTATGAGGAACAACTGGACTCCTGCTGAGGAAAAGAAAAACAAGGCTGTAAAAAGACTGAAATTATTCTGTTATAAT